ATGCACCAGGAGTGAGATCTCATGGAGGAAGAGGAGGAGAGGGGGCGAGAGCCACTCATAATTAAGCGCACGCAGGCCCACGCACGTGCTCCATTTCTCAGCGACCGCCGCGCCGCCATGAGAACTGCCGTACCACCGCCGCTACTGCGGCGGATGCGTGACCTCTCCCATCCCTGTCCTGCGCTGTTTCTGCTACCACCCTCCCCCCTTCCAGCCAAGCTCGGGTTTCATGCTCGGAGACGGGCGCGGCTGGCGGTTCTTAGTGCGGGTGCGCGTGCTGCCTCCAACTCCTCATCCCCCTCCTCCTCCTCTCCTCATCCCCCCTCCTCTTCCTCCTCATCCTCCTCTATCGGCCCAGCTCCGATCGCCGCTCAGCCCCCCTGGTGCGGCTGGCGGCAAAAGTACCGAATATTGCCTGGGATGTCCTTCACCGTCTTCTTCGACATCTCAAGCATCATCTTGCCCTTCTCCTCGGTACGGCGCGCCTCCTCCATCATCTGCCGCGCCTGGTCGACGAGCATCTGGCCCTTCTCTCCAACGGCGCGTGCATGGCGGCAACGATTGCGCCACTGGAAAAACCGCACCACCATGGTCGCCCAGTTCCAAACACTGCCCTCCGTCGCGATGAGCTCGAAGTCATCGACGTCGTACTTGCCCGCGATGCTCGCCATAGCGGCGCAAAAGCCGCGAGGGGGCCTCCCCTGGCAGTCCCCGCTGCTGCGGAGACTTCGGCAGAGGCTCATGCGCGGTTCCGTCGCGGGGGCGGGCGGGCGCGGCGGGAGGCAGACCTGCAACGGCTGCGGCTTCACTTTATCGCACTTCCATCCCTCCCTGCACTCACATGGCTTTTCCCATTGCGCCAGTCTGCTGCTCCCACTTCTGAACTACCTCATCCCTTCTACCTCCATCTGCACCCTCCTCTTCCTGTTCAATCCTCCCTCCTCCCTCCACCGTGCTCATTTCTCCTTACTCCCTTCTCTGCTCCTCCTACGTGGGGCGTTTCACGACAACGACGAGGGCGATGACCGCGACGGCGACAACGAGGACGACGACGACCACGACGACGACGACGAGGACGATGACCACGACGGCGACCAGCGACGACGGCTAGCGACGACGACGACCGACGACGACGACGCCGACCACGACGACGACGGCGACGACGACAACGAGCGACGACGACAACGACAATCGACGCCGACGAGGAACGACGACGACGAACGAGGACGACGATTACGACGACGAGATGACGAAGGTTCGAAGATCGAACCTCGAAGTGCGAAGCTTCGAAATTCAAACTGCGACCTTCGAACTCCGAACTTCAAACTTCGAACTGCGAACTTCGCTGGGGTGCCAGGGATGCAATGGGATGGAGGGAAAAATGGGAAGGGGAGAACGAGGAAGCGGGAGAGGAAATTGGAGGAGAACGAACAGGCGTGGAGCGACGAGGAACGGGCGGCGAGGAGCCGACGTTGAGGGCGGCGGGATGGGGGGACAGGGAGGAGAGGGAAGACTTCTTAACGAAGATCGCGCCACGGCGCCTGCACGCGCGCTCCCGATCTCGGCGGCCGACGCGCGCGCCCCTGCCGAAATGCGACGCGCCCTTCGTTCGAGCCCCGCTGCTGCTGCGGAGCCATCTACTCCGCAACCAAATCGTCTGGGGAGTTATTCGGCCCCAAAACTACTGGTTTGCCAGCCGCTGCTGCGGGCGCCGAGGGCCTTGTGCTGGACGCCGCGGCCCCGCTGCTGCGGGGCCCCTGAGAAGGCGTCGGCCCCCCCTTCTCTCTGGCGGCGTCGAACTTGACCTTGCGCTCCACACCGAGGTCCTTGTGCCAGCGAAAGGTTCCTGACCCGTCGCTCCCGCCCAAACCCGCGGCTGGTGGCCTCACCGTGTCCTCGTGGGGGACGAGGGGCAGAGCTTCGACCTTCCTGTCGCCCCAGTGCGGGTGTAAACGGACGCCTGTCCCGTCGTCGCGGTGCAACACGAAATCCCACATCGGCAGCTTCACTTTCACCCGCTGCCCCGCGAACTGTCGCGCGCGCACAATACTCTGACGCGTGTGGTCGTAGCTGTTTGGCCGGACTTCGAGGGGGCAGCCGATCAGAGCCTCGCTGCTGCGGGGCCCCCCACGACCTCCCTGATATCTTCCTCCCTGAGCGTCGCCACCATCTCTTGCCACCGCCAAGGGACTTCCTCGTCGCTTTTGAAACCAAAGCTCGTCCTCGCACCGTGGTCGCAAACAGCGACCATGGTGGGCTCCGCATTGTCAAACCACTTGGCTTCTGACTCGAACGGGGCAGTTGGGTCTTCATTCAGATGGCGCCACCATTTCAACGCTTGATTGTGTTGCTTAAAAGAAGCGCCGAGCCTCTCTTCATAACTCAAAAAATAATTAACATCAAACTTCTCAAAATCCTGGGGCCCGCGCGCCGCCGCCGCTGCGGTGGCGCGGGGCTCCTGCGCCGCAGGCGCGGCTCGGGATCCCGACCCCTCTCCTGAAACTGCGTTCCCAGGTTCTGGTGAGTTTCGGAGGGCAGCCCTCACGAAATTATCGAATTCGGGCATGCCGAGACCAGGGGCGCGGGGGCTCACAACGCTAAGCGCGGCGAAGCGAGACGGCCGTTGAGGCGAGACCGCCGCCGCTGCTGCGGCGGCAGGGCCATCGCGCCATTTGGCGTCCTCCGTTGGCGTGTGCCCGTCTTGTCGCCAGTCTCTCCAACCCCTCGCTGACCAATCATGGCCGTCCTCCCAGCCACGCCAGCCGCTGCTGCGGCTATCGCACCATCCTCCCGCGCCACCCCATGTGTATCCGCCTGCATCGCCCATTGCAAGACGATGGCGCAGGCGCGCGTTAGGCCGCGACGGGCCCAGCTGCGCCGGTGCTCGCGGGCGATCCCACGGGCGCGGGATGGTTTGAGCATAGCGGCGACGGACGACGCGATGTGATTGGACGGCGGAGAACTTGAAAGGAAGGGGGGTTGGAAACGGATGAACGAAGTGGACGAAGAGCGGAAATCGAACCAGAGGGGGGGGCGAAAAAAGAGCGGAAGAGAATAAGGACATGCAGACGAAGGAGAGTGACGAGGTAGATGGCGGGCCAGAACGGCAACGGAGGATAATGTGGTGGAAATTGTGAAAAGGACGCATGGAAAAACACGACGAGGATCACAGACGCAAAGATGATGAGCGCAGTGGTAGCATGACATATCCGAAATCAAGAAGCAGGATGACGAGGAACGGGATGACGAGCAACTCTGTCGCAGAGAGCCTCCGAACGCACCCCCTCTGTCACAGAGGGCCTCCGAACGCACCCCCTCTGTCACAGAGGGCCTCCGAAAAACACCCCCTCTGTCACAGAGGGGGGAAATGATCACTTTAATGCGGCTTCTGGATTATGCTGAGAATGGCCCGCCGCGTGTTGAGCTGCTGTCATGCATGCTACCGAACACTGCTGGGAAGCGCGCGTCATGTCCACGGCGGATTCCTTGGGCAGCCTCGGGGCCGTCAATGAAACCACTCAAGATGAGAAGCCGGTCCCGGGGAGCGAGTCGAGGCCGGTCTTTGAATCCCCCAAACTGGTCTTTGAATTCGAGAGGCAGGTGTTCTGGATTCCAGGGCCGTCAAAAAACAGCTCAGGATGAGAAGCCGGTCCGGGGGAGTGCATCGAGGCCTCTGGGGGGGGGTCGACGTCGTGATCTGGGGGTCGAGGCCGGGAAGCAACACAAATTGAGACGTCGGGGGCCTGGGCTCGCCGCGCACCCCCCCCCCCCCGGGCCTCATTCCTCCGACAGTCTGTTATTTTTGGTTACCCGTCGTTCTGGCCCGCCCAGTCCACGCTGTCAACGAGAAGCCGCGACGTCGGAGTTCTGGGGAGGGGAAGGGGGGGGGAGGAGGGGGGTGTAGTGGAGGAGGAGGAGGAGGAGGAGGAGGAGGAGGAGGAGGAGGAGGAGGAGGAGGAGGAGGAGGACGGAGGAGGAGGACGGAGGAGGAGGAGGGGGAGGAGGATGAGGAGGAGGAGGAGGAGGAGGAGGGAGGCTGGAGGAGAAGGAAGCATCCAAGATACTGCGACAACTTGTCTCGTCAGCGGCGAGGCGGCGACCTCCGCTCCAGCGAGAAGCTAGCAAAGGGGCACTGACTATAGCGAGCTGGCCGGCGGGCAAGGAGAGGTTGGGGGGACGGCCGAGAGGAAGAAGGGGCGCTCAGATACAAGGAAGACGTACGAGATCCAAAATTCTGTCGGCTGGCCTAAAAGTGACAACCCCCTCCCTGCCAGCTGACACCGAGAAGCGGATTCTGCCGCTGCGAGGGGTCGGGGTCCCCTGAACCAACCAGGACACTGCTAGTCATGACGTTGAAAGTCGGCGGTGGACAAACCTCCCTTTAGTAAACCTCCCTTTAGTGAACACGGCCTACGACCGAAACTGACGAACCTGGACCCGCAAAAATGACGGCCGCGACGCCCTCTCGCGAATCGAAAACGGCAGATTCGCGAATCGACGTGTCAGGGTAGGAGGTCTATCAATCTCCGAGAAAGAGTCCTCCTGGAGAGAACGACGAAGGGAAAATGTTTCGACCCACGGCTGCAATTTTCTTGGGCGCGCCAATGTCCCGAGATCACTCAATTGCCGAATCGGGACATTGGATCGGATCGGAATGCGCGTCGGATCCAGCAACGCTGGCACGGAGTCGGAACCAAATCGGGTCGGCTGCGCCAGGATGCGCAACAGCTCAAAATCGTCGGAAGATCGGAACTGAATCGCCTCGGTCGGGCCAGAATCGATATGTCAAGTCGGATCGATCGGACCCTGATGCCCTGGTTTACTCTGAGGGAGCCAAAAGGTACTGATACCGCTACTCCCCAGACCTCTTCCGGGGTGCGTTCTGACCAGGATTTTGAAGCGAATCCAGCGGTGGCGACGAGGGCCTCCCAGGAGGCCCACCAAGGGGAAATCGAGGGAAGGCTAATTAGAGGTGTGGGTGCACTCTCCTCCTCCGACGCTCAAGTCCCCGTGCAAGGGGCCACCTGCAAGGCTCCCCCTCCCGGGGGGCACCGGTCGCCGCCGCCGCCGCGCGAGCGCGAGCGCGAGCGCGAGCGCGAGCGGCCGCGGCCCCGGCCCTGGTCGGGGTAGTCGTCGGGCGGCTTCTTGGCTTGCATGGCCATCGAGCAGGAGATCTGCGGGGCTGGAACGGTTCCTCGTGGCCCAGGAGGGGGTCCAGCTTCATGTTGCTCCCATGGTGCTCGAGGGCCACATCCCAGAAAAGAGTTCCGAGCACTCAGAAAAGTATCCCGAAGCAGTGTGGCAGGAGTATCGCCTCCCAGGGCACGACAAGTGAACAACATCAAATTTCGGTACTTTCTTGGTGCTCGAAATTGTTTCGGGTGATCAAGGCGTTCAGCTGAGAGGGGGTGGTGCCATAGATGTGGGGCAGCTGTGTTGCCAATGCATGGCGGCAGACAACTGTATCTCATTGCGTTGCAGCGCATGTGTTGCACGCGGAAATCCAACACTACATCTGCGCACTGGAATGTATTGCGCACCCCGAACCTATTGCAACCCCACAAATCGATTACACCAAATCTATTGCACCACTCCGTTTTCGCTGGACCCCCTGTTGGGTCAACCAGAAAAGTGGCAAGAGCATGTTGTACACACACATGCGATGCCGTGTGCATTCTTGCACAACGATCGGTCTGGACCTGTTTCGGGCCCCGAAACCATCACATATCAATCTGGCTTGAAAGATGCGCGCCCAGATTGGGTCTAGCGCCCTGGTCGAAGAGTGGCAACAGCATGCTGTGCTGATATCACCGCTGGGGATTTTAGAAGGACATAGGAAGTATAAATGAGGCAAAAGGTAATTACATGATATTTTGCCGAACTTAACTTATATGTGGGATACTGTGCCCCAAATCTGCAAAAGGTGGTTACATGACCCGCGAAATTGGTTCCGTCCAATTAGACGAGGTCAGCACCCCCTTAAAACACGCAGGGGAACTTTAGCCCACTGATAAGCTATTTTGGGGCGAGCGCAATTCAATGTAATATCCACCTCTAGCCCCTCCATCTCCTTAGTGACCCCCACATACCCCCGGGGTCATTTAACTACACAGATTCCATACCCTCGGGCCCTCGGACTTGGGCGCTGCATTTCTCAACAACGGGCGTGTTTCATTGTTTCGGGCCCTGGGGCCATCACGTGCCGATCCCGCTCGAAATGTGCAGCTGGAAAATGTGGTTTAAGTTTTCGTTTATGTTTTTTTTTGTTCGCGCGGTCGGTCCTCAGGGTACGGTGAAATATCTTGCCATAAAACAATGGATGGGGTACATCTTTCCTCGAGCTCTGAAGGCAATGCAGCTCCCCGGAACTTCAGCGGGGTCCCTGCGGACATCGGGGGACAAAAAATATCACTGGGGCATATGCTGGCAAGCGGATGCATTGGGTGTGCCAACTGCGCACGTCGGTCGGGCAAATAAGTAAAGGCATGAGACAGGAAAGCGGACCGAGCAGATTGGGTCCAGGCCCCCCCCCCCCCAAAATAATTACCCTGTGACGTACCCACCCCATGCGCATCAAACGACAAGAGGAATTGGCCCAAGTTCGCCATGACAATGACAGCGCAGCCGCCGTTGTATGTTGTGTAAGCTACGTGGGATAGCCACGCGTGGCATGAATCACAAAACATCGATATTAAAACGAGGAGCGAGGGCCCGAACCCGAAGGACACGGGGGTGGGAACGAACGAAAAACAGGAGGTGGACGCGATCGCTGGCCGAACGGTGAGCGCGGCAGCAGCAGAGAGAACGCGGCAGGGAAGGTGGGCGACGACGAAAGCGACGGGAGGAGAAAGGAGACTGTTGCTTTTGTCGGCAGCGCGCTGAAGACGCAACCAGTCGTCCAGCAGGATCAAACATGCCTGTTGCGAATGCCAAGAAAGAGCGGGGCCTAGCTCGTTCGCTAGCTTCTCTGCCTCCTTCCTGCACTTTTCAGCGCGGGACCTACACGCTCGAAGGCGCGCCACCAAGTCTGCGGGCGGCCCGCGTGCCAGGGCGTCCAGGCCAGGGTCGCGAATCATCAGGAGGTTGCCCACGGTCGTTGCCCAGGACAGCATCACGTACACATGCATCCAGAGGCCATCCATTTTTCCTCATCCTTGCACCCAGCGTCGACAATGACACCGCGATGCATGGCGCGGCCCTGGCAGGCCGTGGACGTCAAGACTTCGGCGTGGGACATGGCCGGGCCAGTGCGCGTGACCGTATACTTCCGGGAATTAGACGGGCTCGAATTCTGCGGCTCGATGAAGACAAGGCGCGCCGCGTCCGCGCCGTCGATGCTGTCGTCGAGCTCAGCGAGTTGTTTGCCGCAGGGGCCAGCATTGTATTTGTCCATGCGCACCCACACGCCGTGCGGCAGGTACCGCAAGTGCGCCAGACGTCGCTCGGCCTTCGCTGCCTCCACCTCGCCCTCATCCTTCGGATTGACGGCCACGTGGACAACGTCGCCCTCGGCGTCCTTGACGAGCCTTCCGATCTGGTCCAGGTGCTCCAGCAGGCGTATGCGCATTGTCCTGTCTGGGTAGGACGTCTCTCCGCTGGACCCCCCAGCAGTCCTCGAAAGTGGCGACCAACTCGCAGATCGCAGCCCCACAGGGATGGCGAGGTCTAGTTTGAATCTAGGTAGGACGCCACTCGGGTGGACCCCCCAGCAGCCCTCGATAGTGGCGACATTTGCGCAGATTGCAGCCCCCCAGGGATGGCAAGGTCTAGTTTGAATCTGGGTGCGACGTCGCTCCGCTGGACCCCCAACCCTCGAAAGTGGTGAAAGTTTCGCAGATTGCAAGCCCCCGCGGATGGCCTCGAGGTCTAATTCGAATCTGGGTAGGACGTCGCTCCACTGGAGCTCCCAGCAGCCCTCGAAAGTGGCGACAGTTTAGACTGATGGCGAGGTCTAGTTTGAATCTGGGTAGGACGTCGCTCCGGTGGAGCTCCCACCAGCCCTCGAAAGTGGCGACCAACTCGCAGATCGCAGCCCCACAGGGATGGCGAGGTCTAGTTTGAATCTAGGTAGGACGCCACTCGGGTTGACCCTCCAGCAGCCCTCGATAGTGGCGACAGTTTCGCAGATCGCAGCCCCCCACGGATGGCCAGGTAGGAGGCTGGCTGGCACGCAGGAAGGAGCGAGGTGAGAGGCAGGAGAAAATGGGAGATGGGGTGGGCAGGTGTGCGACCGCAGTGTTCTATTCAAAACGAAAACTCAACGCAGGACGGTTGGGAATAACACAAAACACAGCAAAAGCACATCGGTTCTTGCAGTAGGAAGGCGCTTGAAGCAGATTGGGATCCAAGAGTCCCAAAATACCTACTTTCAACGACTGACGGGAACCGACGTCGATGTCCAGAGGTCTGGACTACTTCCCTGGGACGGGTTTCTCATCCTGAATCGTTTTTTGACGGTCCCAGGGCCCTGTAGGGGCCCCCAGAGGCAGAAAATCATGAGAAACCTCCCTCCGCGATTTTTTCGCAAAGCGAAGGGGCGCAGAAATATCCAAGCGACGCAGAAAAATCACGACTGCCCATCTTTGGGCGCTCATAAGCCTCCGGAGGCAGTTCCCCAGCCCCAGGGGGCCGTCCGAAAACGAGCACCAGGGCGGAATACCGGTCCTGGCAAGAAGGGGTCGAGACCCCAAAGAGAGGCCTGTCTCACAACCGAGCAGATGCGGCGGCGGAGGAGGACCAGGAATATTGGAACACACACGGCGGGATCCAGGCATGTGGAGCATCTGGAAGCCACGCGCTGGACGTGCGCGCGGCCGCCTGGCGTGCCAGGCCTTTCGAAGGGCCGAGCGCCAGAGAGACACCCGGCCACGGGCGCGCCCAGCTCCCGCCCAGGGCGGCCGCGGCATGCAACGCGCCCCCCCCCCCCCACCAGAGGCCGAAGAGCAGGAACGAGGACGAGGCCAAGGGAGGAGGAGGAAGGTAGAAGGAGGGGGAGGGGGAGGAGGGGGAGGAGGAGGAGGAGGAGGAGGAGGAGGAGGAGGAGGAGGAGGAGGAGGAGGAGGAGGAGGAAAAGCCTGGGATTGCGCGGGCCACGTCGTCGGAGCTCTGGGTGCGGCAGGCTTGTGCCGTGACGGCCCCAGCGCTGGCTTCCGACACCGCGCGGATCGCTCCGCCTCGAACGACCTCGCGGCCTTTTTTGGCGGCGCGCACAAAAGGGGGTGGAGGGAGGGGGGAGGGCTTCGTAGAAGGAGGCTGCTTCTTAGAGGGCGCCGGCCTTACGTCTGCAGATGAGGCCCGCGCCTTCTGAGAAGCAGGGGTGCTTCTATAAGAAGCTCTCCCCCCCTCCCCCCCCTCCCCCCTTGTGCGCGTGGCCGACTTTTCTGTGTCGCCATGGTCGTGCCGCACAAGTCGCCTCTGGGCCACCGGCGGCGCTCCGCCTGGAACGCCGGCGGCGGGGCCGCAGCCGCGTCGGCACGGCACGAGCCTGTCGTACCTCCCGCTTCCCGGTGCTCCGCCCTGTGCTCAGGGAGCGTGCGGGGCGCCTCCCCGGCGGGGGGGGCGCCTCGCCACGCGGGGGACCACGAGAAGGGGGGGGGGCTGGCAGATGTCGGGAGCGGCCAAGAGGGGGGGTGTCCAAGAGAGAGGGGGGGGGCAAATCATGACCGGCGGCATGTGCGCGGCCCAGCGGGGGGGCCAGGTACGTAATGAAATAAGAAGAGGCGCCATGAAATCTGGGGAAATATCATGGCCAACGCCATGATATCCCCCCCCCCCCAGTCATCACCCCCCTCTTTTCCCTTTTCCGCCCCCGAATATGGCAGGGGACGTCGACACCTGGAACCGGTGACACGTCGCCGATCGCTCGGCGGGGCCCCCGATGGCAGATCCCACCGCTCCTGGGCGGGGTGGGGTTCTCGGGCCCCTGTCGGCGATGCGTGGACGAGTGGGGCTCGATGCAGCCCCCACTATGAGTATCCCCCCCTGATTATCCCAGACCACCCCCGACGTCATGATTTGTTCCATGGCGTCAACCCCCAGAGGTCTGGATTTTCCGGGGACCAATTTTTCATCCCGAATCATTTTTTGACGGTCCCGAGGCCCAGCAGGGGCCCCCGGAGGCCGAAAACAGCGAAAAACCTCCCGCAGTGACTGTTTCACGACTCGAGGGGGTCTGGGATCGTTGCCCCTGACCGCGTCGGCGTGCAAAGCGCCGGGCGCCGACGCGTGGCGTGGCGCCTTCGGCGCAGGTCGTTACCCCGGGCTGGGGGGGGTCGGCTCGCGGCTGTCGGCGAGGGCGGCGCTCCCCCCCCCTGGCGATCGAGCAGGCGGTCCGGTGGATGAGAGAGAGAGAGAGAGAGAGAGAGAAAAAAAAAGCCATGCCCGCTTGCGCAGTGACAAAAAGTGGCGGTGGAAGGTATTTGGCTGTTTTCGGCCTTGGCCGCGCGCAGAAAGGGGCACAGTCGACCCGTATCATAGTGCGCTGTAAGGATGTAAGGGCCTTGGAGGGCTACGTTAAGTGTTTGTCGAACGAGGTTGGCCAGCGACAGTCGCCAAGGATGGGCCGAAGGGGCAAGGATGCAAGGGTACCCTTGGGAAGGTGGCCCATCCTTACTACGCGGGCTGACTGTAGGGGGAGGGGGAAAAGCTTCTTGGAAGGAGGCTGCTTCTCAGGAAGCGCCGGCCCAAATCTGCAGACAAGGCCCGCGCCTCGAAAAAAGCAGGGGTGCTTCTAAGAAGCCTTCCCCCCTGCCCCTATACCCCCCTTGGCGCGTGGCCGACCTTGGCTGTTTTCGACCTCTGGGGGTCCCTGCCAGAGCCCCGGGGCCGCCAACAGGAACAACCGGGGGCGCAAAGCCGGCCCCGGAGAAGGGGTCGGGGCCTCATGGGGGATCGGGAAACGGCGCAAGCACACAGCCAAAGCTCGGCCGTAAGGAACCTTGGGTGAGGAGCGAAGCCCCTTGTGGGCCTCAGTTGCGCCCAGGTGCACGAGGAGCGCCAGGATAGATACGTGGGAGGACCCAAGGAACATCGAGCCCCGTTGGAAAGTCAAGTGGGCCTTGTCCCAAAGTTTTGACTGTACATGCGCTGGCTGATAAATTGGTCGATCCCCACAACATTGGATATGCTGTAGTCAGCGCTCTGGAAAAGCGCACCGCTTTCGGCCATATCTGGACCTGCTTGGAGCCGTCTGGTCCCTCTTACGTACGGACCCTCGTGGGGTGTCTTTTTGGCCGGCAGGCACCTCCTGTCCGTTGATCTCCTTGCGATCCATGCCGTCCACGGCGTCCTGTTTGGCGGGGCGCACAGGGGAAGGGATACTGAGTCTGTTAATTGTATCGAACTACAGTGGAGGCCAGTCCACAAGAAACCGTCCACAAGAAACCCAACCCTGAGACACCAGGACGTCCATCGATTTTTGGTGTGGGAGGGTCACGCTCTCCAGGGCAAAACCATCGAATCTAAGAAACCCAGGGCACCCTGGAGGCAAGCAGGGCGTTTCTTGGCATGGCCCCCCACTGTATCTATCTATCCGCTGGCCTCTTTGTGGGGCCATCAGGCTGCGCGGATGAGGTTTCCAGCAACCCGCGCTGGTTCCAACTTCCAATCTCCGATGTCATAACTCTACTTTCTGCCTCCTACCGTGCTTTGGAACTGCCGGCCCCAGAGGGAATCAGCCGACAACAACCTCGCTACCACGCCTGAGTCGCGTTGCCTGAATTTCTGGTTGGTCCTGGACACGTACAAATACGTGAGATTCGCGCCCCCGAGGCAACAATCCCAAGCAGTTACACCAGATTCACATTCCCGAGGTCAGAAACCTTTCGTACATTACGCTGGATCTGCGACCCCCATGCCAGAACCCTTGGCAAATTCCTGCAGATTCGCGCTCCCGAAGCCATAATCAATTGACATTTCAACCAAGTTCGCGCTCCCGAGGCCAGAATTTCTGTTCAATTGCACCAGATTCTTTCCAGGGGCCAGAGCCCTCCGTCAATTGCACCGGACTCGCGCTCGCAAGGCCTGACTCCTTTACAAATGACGCCGAAGTCGCGCCCTCGAAGCCACAATGCTTTGAAGTTGCTGCAGATTCGCGCCCCTCCCAGGCGACTCCAGATGCGCGCCCCCGAAGCCACGATCACCTGGAAATGCCGTCACGATTGCCAGCCGTCCACGCATTTTGTTTTTGTCACCGTGAGGCCTTCTGCTGTCAGCGCAGGCCTGTTGACTCTGGCTACACGTCGTTCATTTCTAATTGTGCTCACTTCTAATTGTGCTCGTTTCTAATGCTTCCCGGCCCCCTAGTGGCCAGGAAGAGGCCCAGGACAGAACAGCCAGAAACGAAAGGATCTTGGCCCCCCCCAAGATCAAAGAACTCTCGAAGAATTAGGCATGAACAGTGGCGGGTCGGGCGAGCCAGAGGCGTCCTCTCCCCGACCGGCAGGAGGGCCGAGAGGGCGCACCGTCCTCATCCATCCTTCAGGGCCTCGGCCGCCCGGCACGGGCGAGGCACTCCCCGCTGGGATCCGCAGCCGTCCCCGCGCGAGGTTCGACACCGCTTGAGGCCTCCCTCCTCGTCCTCCTCCTCCTCCTCCTCCTCCTCCTCCTGCATCTCCTCCTCCTCCTCCTCCTCCTGCTCCTCCCCTCCTCCTCCTTTTCCTCCTCTTCCTCCCCTCATCCTCCTCCTCCTCCTCCTCCTCTTCCTCCTCCTCCTCCTCCTCCTACTGCTACAGTCGGCCTTGATTGGACAGGACACGCGAGAAGACACAAGACCCTTCCGAGGGCCACATCGCCATAGGAGTGTAAGAAGGAAGGTCGCGGGGCACAGGACACAAGGGTACCCTTGAGCTGGCAGGGTCGACCTACTAATCCTGGCAGACTGTAGCTACCCCTGGCATGCCCCATTCTGCTGGAGAGGGGGCCAGCGGCAGAGGGCGAAGCTCTCACGGACACTATCTTTACTCTCTCTTCTCTTCTCGCTCCCTTCGAGCAACGAGCAAGTTAGATACATACACTATCTCGGGGCCTCGTGCAGACTGGGACGGCACGGCTCTACGATACGGCACTCACGCTACTGGGGCAGCCAGAAACCACCCAGGACGACCACTCTGAGTTCTGGCCAGGGAGCCCCCAACGGCATCCACTGGTCAGCCCTCGGACAAGTTGACCAGAGGCATGTTCATGTAGTGATGCAAACATAAGTCATCTCTGTGGGCCGCAGAGATGTTCTTCAACATGGAAGATCCCCGCCTCTGAGGAGGAGAGGGGGCGTGTGTGAAACTCAAACGCCCGATCTCCTCAATAGAGGAGCAAACAGCGGCATACATATACTTTCCCAGAGGTCCGCGCGGATTTCTTGTATTGGCGCTGGACCCCTCTCCCTGGAGTGCCGAGCGCGTCAAGGGCGGCGCCGGAGGCGCCGCCGGGGGGGGGGGGGGGGGCAAGGGCCGATCTAAGAAGTCCGCGCGGACCTCCGAGATATTAGGTTCATGTAAGTTTCTGTACTTCGACTGATCCCCAGCTTTGTGCGCCGACGGGTCCTGGGCGTCGCGCTTCTCTCGGAATCGGACGAAGGCGAAGTTTCGGTCGCGCGGAATGTACACGTCGCCGATCTCACCGTACTTGCCAAACTTCTGGTGGATCTCGTCCTTCACCCTTACGACCTCCTCCTGTTGAACCAGAGAACACACGACACCACCCACCACCCCACCTACGGCCTCCAGGTGCTTCGCGTAGACCAGGAAATCTGGCGTGAGCTTTTGCGTGGTATACGCTACGGCGCCCGATGGGCCGTAGCGCAACATGGAGGGCCGTAGGTGGGGTGGTGTCGATCCCCAATTAGGCTTGCCTAAAGGGTTCCTACTTGGTTAAAGGTTGGTGCCTCGGGTGGCTACTTTGCCCGTTCCTCGGAGGAGGTTCCCCTGGCTCCTCCGGTTCCCCAGTTCCTCGCCCTGTGCCTCCGATTCTTGCGTTGCCAGTTGCTCGGAGGTTCCCCGGAATCTTCAGGTTCCCCAGGTTCCTCGCCCTCCGTGCCTCCGATTCTTACGTTACCCGTTGTTCGGAGGTCCCCCGGGTTCCTCTGGTTCCCCGTGTTCCTCGACTTCCCCGCCTCCGCTGCCTCCTGTTGTTACGTTGCCCGTTTCTCGAAGGTTCTGCGGGTTCCCCAAAATCCTCGGGTCGGGTTCCCCAATTTCCTATGGTTATTGGAGTTCCCCAAGTTCCCCGCGTTCCTCGGGTTTCCCGGATTTCCTGGGTTCCCAATTTCCCGGGTTCCCGGGGTTCCCCGGGTTCTCCTGGGTCCCTCGGGTTCCCCGGGTTCCCCGCCCCCGGGGCCGCATATTCTGAATGTGCCCGTTCCAAGCAATGCCAAGCAATGCCAAGCAATGCCAATCAACGCTAAGCAATGCCAAGCAATGCCAAGCAATGTCAAGCACTGCCAAGTAGTGCCAAGCACTGCCAAGCACTGCGAAGCAATGCCAAGTAATGCCAGGCAATGCCAAGCACTGCGCCCATGCAGTAGGAAACTTTCCCCTAATTGGGGTCGCGCCGGGTTCATTTGCTTTTCGTCGACCTGTGGGACGGTGACGCCATCGACCTTCACGCTGTGCAGGCCCGAGACGTCGGGGAAGGGTAGCCGTGACATGGCCCCCGTGCGCCCTGCGCCGTCCGAGGGGGGCGCTCTTCCGCAACCAGCGCTCGAGTCAGAGCGGCAGTGGAGCAGGAGGAGCAATTGGATTGTCCAGGAAGGCGACACTCAGGAGGAGGAGGATGATGATGATGAGGAGGAGGAGGAGGAGGGGGAGGAGGAGGAGGAGGAGGAGGAGGAGGAGGAGGAGGAGGAGGATAGGGAGAAAGACGCAGCAGGGCTCGAATGCTTCTTGCAAACGGGTGGGCGCACAAGCTTTGTGCGGTATTCCGCATGATTTGCATCCACCGCTTAATTCTCAATATCATGATGGGCTCCTTCTTCCGCCGATTTTCCGGAGCATTCCCACGACCAGTTTCGTTGAAGCGTTCGTGCCTGCAGCGGCTGTGCATACCCTGGTCGGCCTCCAAAGTACGCGCACAGAATCGAGCCCGAAACAAACTAATCCACCAGACAATGTTTTTTGTTCGGTGGCAGTGGTGATTCTTCCGATCATGCAGCCAAAAGATCTAACAATACACACGACGCTGGTTTGCCAACTGATGACGAATTTTCCAAACGAGGCCACTGCCCGTGAGACCCTCGCAAGGGCGCGGGCATTTTCGGACGCTGCACGGAGATGGTGGTCGTGGGAGGTGTGGAGGAGGAGGGGGAGGGGTAGGGGTAGGGGGAGGAGGAGGAGGAGGAGGAGGAGGAGGAGGAGGAGAACACAGCAACGCAACACTCGCATATCTGTGATCGACGGCGTCACGTTATCGCCTCGTTGTCCCAGGCTGGACTGGACAATTCGAGATTGTAGAGACACACGACGTTTGCATCAATCGTGCCGTTGTTTCCCTCTCCTTGAAGTATTCGTCCCTCCTCCTCCACTTTGCCTTGCCCTCCCGCCCCTGCCATAGATGCAATATCAGGCGTTTCTCGTTCTGAATGTTGGGGTGGAAATGGAGGTTCCTCCATGTTCCACGGTGCGCGCTTCGCACTTTCTTGCAATTTGCATGGAGGTGGAGGCGGGAGGTCGAGGTAGTGGTGTGGTGGCGCCATCTGAAAAAAAAACTACTGTGCCACACGTGCTCTCACCAACTTCAGTTTCAGGGTGTGCTTTCGAGTCCGCATCTCGACACCGTCAGGCCTGCCAACTCCAGATCGGTGGATTCGGGCGACCCCGAGCTGTTTTCTCGGCAGCCAGGGCATCCGACCATCGGCTCTGCACAGTATAACGCCAAGGATTACAAAATCCTCGATGTGGGCCGACATCGAATCTTGTGCACCCGCATGGCATTCGCAGGGCAGGAGAGCAGAGGTGCCGAGCGTGACGACCGCCGCGAGCGAGTCGACCGCAAGGCCCTCGGTGAGGCCAGCAGGGACTGAGAGAGCGGAGGTGGCGGAACAGCTGATGACATGGCTGGGGGGAGGAGGAAAGTGATCGGCTACTCGCAAAGAGTGACCCTGGGTAAGAGCGACCTTCCCTGAGATTCTGGCGACTCAATTTTTTCGAGCCAGGCGTTTTCGCTCCATTTCGGGCCCTGGGGCCCTCACACATCGATCCGGCTCGAACAATGACGCAGAAAGATGGGGTCCGTGGGTCCGGTCGTGAATTTTTGCGAGGTTGCTTTTTTTGCTGCAATGTCGGATTTCAGGGCCGGGTAAGAGTGACCTTGGGTGCGCGGCTTTTTGGGGGCCGTGGGGGGCCAAACACGAGCGCGCCAAACGCTTCTGCCGCATCGCGTTCGGCGATCGGTGGACCCCAATAGGTCACTCCGGCGAAGGGCCACTCTTACGTGTGAGACGAAGCCAGGACGAGGATAAAGTCGGGTGAAGATGGATAGAGAATCTCTGAGGTCCAGCGGTTCTGGAAGACGTGTCGGGTGCTGCGGCCTTCTCAGAGGCTGGTCGCTCGATCGCTGTGGAGGCGGACAAGGAACTCTTTGGAGATGGTGGTGGTGGTAGAGCTTCACATCGGTCATTCTTGGCAACACCTATCAACGAACAACTAGCGCATGTATATCCCTGCGCCGCAGTCGCACTTTAGTGGCATCAGGCCAGCAACAGTTTCAGTAGGAAGGAAGTCAGCAACTCAACTAGATGATTTACCATCTGCCCTCGGTCAGGGCACGAACTGCCCTCGGTCCATCGTGGGCGGAGGTTTCGTGGGTGGAGGTGGGATTGGGGGGACCTCTGTTTTGCGCATACTCGTATAACCCGCCACTGGGGTCCATTTGTTTACAGCTCTCGTTGCCCAACTTTGTTCGTCCTACACTCTGTCGCACCACTTTGTTGTTGTTCGAAACACTTGCTTTCCTCAGAACAGTGTTTTGCATAGGAGCGCTTGTTGTGGTCATGCGAACGTTATGGTCACGCTGGCCCAGGCTTGCCTAGCGCAAACAAGGAGGAGGTGAGTGAGGATGTGGATGTGGATGTGGATGAGGATTAGGATAAGGATAAGGATAAGGATAAGGATGATGATGATGATGATGATGATGATGATGAGGAGGAGGAGGAGGAGGAGGAGGAGGAGGAGGAGGACGAGGACGAGGATGAGGAGGAGGAGGAGAGGAGGAGAGGCAAGACGAGCAGGTCCGAAGACGCCCAAATCATTGATCGCCCGTAAGTGTTTAAGGATTCTCGCATTCTTGCCTTTGGGGTATTACGGTAACTCAAGACGGCCCAAGCAACTTCCAAGGGTCCCAAGACGGCCCAGGAGGGCCTCTGAAGAGACCCAAAACAGCCTTAGAGGGCCCCTTGACGGCCCAAGCCGGTGCGAAGTCGGCTCCACGACGGCCCCGAGACCCCCCCCCCCCCATACAGCCAAGAGGGCCCCCAAACGGCCCCAAAAAGCTCCAAGACGGCCCTGACAAGAATCAAAGGCGGCCCAAGAGGGCCTGGAGGGACCCGTAGTAGAAGAGGCGGGCGGCGGCGGTAGCGGTGGAGGGGTGGGAGTTGGGGGTTGGGTAACTTCCTCCCAACGCCTTCCCAGGCTTCAGCTCGCTCCATCCCCTCCTCCTCCTCCTCCTCCTCCTCCTCCTCCTCCTCCTCCTCCTCCTCCTCGGTTCAGTCCTCCGCCTCCCTGCCTCCTTGCCGTCCTTTTCCTCCCCCGCCCGCTCCTTGCTCGCCTCGAGGGAAGAGCTGCGCAACGCTTCCCAGAGGCCCCGGGCACCTAGCCGTGGCCCAGTGCGTCTCGCCAAGCTGCTCCATGCACCTGTAGAGGCCTCCTAGACGGGGTCCGAGCAGATGGGGTCGGAGGACCGCGCCACATCGCGGATGCATCGCCGGTGCATCGGCGACGTCAGCGGTGCATCGGCGATCTCAGCGCGGAGAAACTCGGGCCCCACATCGAACCGCATCGGCGATGCATCGGCGATGTGGCGTGATCCTCCGACCCCATCTGCTCGGACCCCAGCTGGGAGACCTAGAACCTGGCGTGCAGCTGCACGGCCGCGTCGGCGCCGCTGGAGACCCTCAGCTTCGCGGCCTCGGCCGTGCGCCGCGGCGGGACGGCGGGCAGGCCCGGATCGGCCCGACAACTGGATTGGCGATCGGAGAAGCAGCAACCCTTCGGTGGATGTCGAGGGCTTTCGCTCCGGGGGGGGGGGGGGCCCAGGGGGGGGGGCTCTCATGGGCCCGTAAAGTGGGGTCTTCGACGGACGGGCACAGTGCTGCCCCCAAGCAAAAGGCTGCAGCAACGGCTCGCGCCATGCTCCATCCCTGCCCCTCTTGGATCTGGCAGTGTCCTGAGGGGCCCGCGCGGCTGGATGGAGGCGGCGCGAGGCGGGACGGCGCGCGTGGAGAAGGACGCGGGTGACCAACGGAGCAACGGAGCAGTGCGCGGGGAGTTCACGCAAGAAAAAGGGAGGAGGAGGAGGAGGAAGAGGAGGAGGAGGAGGAGGAGGAGGAAGAACTCGCTCGCACCCACCCACGCGTTCAGTTCGATGTCTTACTGGTCTCAACGCAGAACCTGAGGGGGATACAACTTGTGTGCAGCCCCCTTCATCTTGCTGGCTCCGAGAGCCGCGCGCGCTGGCCTGTGCACCCGTGAAGTTGCCCGCGCGGGGGCCTGGCCACTGGACCCAACGGGCAGGTTTTGGGGGACCCTTTCTTTCCCTTCTCCCGCCTTCCTCCTTCGTGCTTCGGCTCGGGCCCCTTTCGTCCTCTCCCCTTTGGGTCCCTCTCCTCCCTGTCTTCGTCGGTCCCCGCTCCGCGGGCGCCACGGCCTCGACCAAAAAAGGCGCGTGGCGCACCAGCTTGATCAGTTTCCCCCCCAGGGCCGATCGGCCCAGGTGTGGGATGGTGTGGTGGGGGGGGGATGGCCGCGTTCGACGAACCCGCAAGCCGAGAGAGGGAGCGATAGAGAGAGAGAGAGAGAGAGGAGGGGACGGGGGAGGCGGCGGAGTGGGAGGGGGAGGAGGAAGAGGAGGGAGAGGGGAAGGGGGAGGAGGGAGAGGGGAGAGGTTTTTTTTGTTGGGGACGGGCCTGAAGCCAGATCACCTCCTCGTTCAGCCAAAATCGGACGCCTCCGAGTCTGACTCGAAACCGTTGTTCGAGGCTCGGAGGGAGGCGGCACCTAGGTCCTTGACCCAGGGTAAATCCGACACTGCAAGGCCGAACGAATCCAAAACCTGCTCTCGCGGGGCGAAGCCCACCGCGAAGCCAACAGTGGCAGGACCTGAAACTCCCTGGGGGGCCTGGCCATCCTCCTCCAGCGTCTGAGCCAAAACCCTCCGCTCGGCGAGGCTAAGGCTCACGTGAGCCCCCAGGGTTAAATTCTTCAGGTCCTTCTTGTACGACGGAAACTTGCCCTGCCGAATCCTTCTCAGCTGGTCGTTAATTCCGCCCGTCGTCGATTTGGGCCTACACAGGCCTTTAGCTCCAGCATTGGGAGCCCCAGAGAAAAACGATCCGCACCGACAGCAAAACTGGATCCTACCCCTGGGGTTTCCAGGAGGTTCCAAGACAGGGCAGGCCAAAAACGCATGACCGTTGGCCCGAAAAACTTGCCGAGAGAAAGGCCGCCACTCCTCCCCCAAGTCCAAAGAACCTCCCACCTCCCTTTGGTCGTCGGCCAGGGCCTGGCCGTGGGCATCATCGTCATGTGGATGCTGCCGCTGGCCATCGATGCCTGCCGACCTGGGCACTAGGCCCGTTGAGTCACGGGGCCCACTGGACATCAGCACCTCGACCGATCCAGCCCACCTGCAGGCCTCGCGGGCGAGGCACCTGAGGCCTCTGTACAAGTTGGCCTCATCGTCACTGACCCCATGACACTCAGCTCCTAATTTAGCGAACATATCAGCGAGCCCATTGGCCCGTCTTTCCCAAACACTGCTTCTGCCAGCCTCGACGTCGGCCGCAGAAGCGTGGCCGAGCGTCTTATGACACTCGAAATCGCTGAGAGTAAACGAGCTCCACACGGGGCCCCACAGATGACCACGGGGGGCTCCAGGGCCCTCCGCGAACCCAGGGCCCCGAGCCAGCGAATCCAGAGTGCTCTGGCAATCAATATAGCATTGAAACGGGGGAAGACCTACTTGCGTAAGCATATATACAGCATAGTCTTCCCCGTCTTTACTAGTTTGCTGCGGGGCCGCACTCAGTGGAACGGGGCCGTAAGCCGCCGAGATCAACTCCCCAAACCTGTCGACCGACACGATACTCCAACCAGCCCGAGTGAGCCCATCGAGGCCCATGTATTTAGCCGACCCGTCAAGGAAGAGCAACCCCGTCAGGAACCCCGTCTCGGGCCTCTCGTGCCAGTGAACAGATTGCGTGTGCTCCTCTACGTCGAAGAGCGAGCGAGGGTGAGGAAAGATGCACCTCGCGAACCTCTCCGCCATCAGCGGCCCGAACTGCTTCACTCTCCGCGCACACCTACACAAGTGAACACTCGCAAGGTCTCGCCGCAGGACTTCATGCGCAGGGCACTCGTACTGACGGTGCCACAAAGTACCTGGGGCCCCCTTGCACACCTGACACTGATCATCATCGTGAAGGTTGTGAGCATGCGGTCGAGGTTGGGGCCAACGAACTCCCGGGACCAATCCTCTTAAGCATCTCTGATGGTGCTTCCCCCAGTCTCCAGACTTCCCCCTGAACAACCTGGAAATACCATCCCAGAAGATAGGGTACACAGGCGGCCCATCAAGGCCATTCTGCAAGTGAAGAGCATGTCTATCTGACGCTCGCACAGCACCTTGCCTGATCAAAGTCCTGACCTGCATCGGGGAAAGCCTGAACAAGTCATGCGCCACATTCAAGTCATCTTTGATGGTGTGCTGGTCTACAAAGTCCCAGCCTATCCCTCGCAACGTTAAAAGCGCGACGTCGCTGGGAGAAGACGCTGACCTCCAAGGCTGAGCTGAATTCTGAAACTTGGCGATCGAGACCCTCATGGTATTGGCCAACACCTGAACGTGAGGGACAGCTTCCCAAACAGCAGTGGCCCACATAAAAAGAACGTGCCCCACATAAACCACCAGAGGGTCTACCTTGGCCCCGAGCCCGTACGTGTACATCCTGAGCCCAACCGAAGCACCTTTAGGGAGCCTGCCTAGGGAACTTGCAGCACCAATACGGAGCCCAGCCATTTTTGTAGGGGCCACCCCAGAGACCGAGGATCCCCAGAGGGCCGATGCCACGGGCCCCATCCTGTGAACCATACCGATGTCGGCTCCAGCTCCTTGCAATATCTTGAGCCTCCTGGCCCTGCGCGAAGCACCTGCAAACCTTGAGTTTTGAATTCCAATCCTGCGGAGGCCTCCCAGGGTAGCGTTGGTCCCAAGATTCCGCGCCGTGTCGGTGCGGCACGAGGTGGGAAGGGACCAGGCCTTGGACAGGTGCGCCTCAACCTCCTTCGAACAGAGGTAGGCACACTTCTTAAACTCCACGGGAAGCTGCAGCTGCTTGAAGCTCTTGAACAGAGACTCTACTCCACCAGCCAATTGGGCCGCAACCTGAAGCTTGGGCCCGCAACTCTGAACAGTGATGTCGTCCACCACATTGCGCACATACAACAAGTTCCTGCTCTCACGGGCCTCCAAGAGCGGTCCTAGAAGCAACATCTTGGCGAAAGTCGTGGCCCCCGAGCACCCGGCTACGATCGCCCCGTTCGACTCGACGACGGCCGACGAAGCTCCCCCGTAAAGAAGCACACGGTAGCCTGCATAGATGGTACAGTAAGCTTTGACCAACCTAACTGGAAAGCCAAACCGTTTAGCTGCAATCAGAAGGTCCCCGTGGTTAACATTCTCATAGAACTTAGCCAAGTCCAAGAGTGCCGACGCTGATTCGAAACCTGCTTTACGACAATGAGCCCCGAGCAAGTTGTGGACCCATCCAGCCCTCTCGCGCGTAGTGTCGGGCCCAGAGCCCCAGAAAAACTCGTACACGTGTGACTTTTCCCATGAGCGGCAATACGGCTGCCTCAAACGGCTCCAGAGCTTCATGAAGAGGCAGAGCAATCCGATCGGCCTGACCCCTCCCGTCGGTTTGTCCAAGAAAACCACATTGGTCAGAAACATCAGGAAGGCCCCAGGGTCAACCTCGAAGAGCGTCAAGATCTCCAGAAGACGAAACTGATGGCTTTCGGGCAGCTGCAATACCCACCTCGGGTGGAATCCATCCCAGCCTAGGCCCGCCGCGGGCCCGTACATCCTGCAAACTCGGTGTAAATCCTCCAGTCTGAGCGGGGAAAGGGCAGGCTCGTCGGCAGGAACTTCCCAGGAGCTCGGTGCGGGCCCACGGCCAGCTCGAAACCACACCGGATGCCACGCATCGAGAAGCTCTTGCACTGCGGCCTGACCAGCCACTGGAAGCCGAGGATCATCTGACATACCTCGCGAAAAAAACACTCGAGACCTGTTGCTTGGAGAAGGCGTGAGCTGCTTTACCACCTCCAGAGACGGCACTCTTGGCCCATTCCTTCCACTTAGCCAGCTGCGAAGCGGCGTCCAGCCGCTGGCGACGAGTGCACTCTTTGCAGATGGCCCCATTGACGTCGTCGTTCCAGGATCCTTCCCCCGATGCCGCCATGACCATGGTGTGCAACTGGGCCTTGGTGGGCCCCTCTTCAGTCAGCTGGAGGTCATCCAAAATGTCGAACAGCTTAAGCTTCCAGGATCCCAAAAGAGCTCTCCCCTTGGCGCCTGGGTTCCCAGCACTGATAGCTTTTGCCTTCCTGAGCATGGCCTCGAACGAGATCCAGCAGACAGTCTGCTTCGAGAAACGTCGACGGTGATCTCGCTCTAGCAGCGCAGCTAAGGGAACTTTCCGAGACTGGGGCCCGGCGGAGCGACCAACGTACCCTTTCTGATCACATATCCCATGAATTTCAACCAGGCGAGCTTCGGCTTCCCCGAACCACTCCCGAGCTAGCGAGTCCAAATCTGAGTCTAGAGGGTCGCTCCATTGGATGTCCCTTTCCTGCGGCAGCGGCCCCATGAGCGCGGTGCTGAACGGCTTGAAACGCGTCTGCTGCTGGACCACAGCCGTCTGGCAGAGGTTACCCAACCGAAGCAGCACAGGGCAATGGGGAAAAAGCGGCGCTCCTTGGATAGCCTGGACATCCTTAATGCATGCATGAACTGATAGCCGATGACACGACGAAGTAGTCTAGCTCCCTTCCTCCTCCGTCATGCTCCGTCAGCTCCTCCTCCTCCTTATCTTCTCCCGTGGCAGTCCTAGGAGCGCAGGCCGAGCAAGTTGCCTGGCCAGGAGCGGCTAGCACACCGTGCACATGCTGTATCCAACCTGATAGCTGGAGAGCCGCGGGCGTGAAGTTCCAATCACCTTGCACAACCCACGGACGCTTACTGCACAATAGGAGCGCTCCCAACACTTCCAAAATCTCTAGATTCTCGCCCGTCGCGCCTATGTCGTTGACAAGATAGACACTGTAGATCTCAAGGCCCTGGTCGAACCCCGCATTGATGACCCGACCTACGATCCTCCCGTCGAACCTGCCCACTCCTGGAAGATCCAAGGGCCTCGAAGCAATCTCCCCAGCAACCAAAATACCGACTCCTCCAGAGCTTTGCAGGGGCCCGTCGCCAGTGCTGAGGGCCTTCCCGAGGGACACCTGGTACCCGTTCCTGCGGGCCCAACTCTGGGCCGAAATGATCTTGTCGGGGGACTTCAACCTAGTCTCCTGGAGCGTGACCACCTGGAACTTGCTTTGGACCAAACCCCAAGAAGCCGCCCCAGATCCTCCGACGTCTGCTTGATCTCGGACCCAGTTCACTACAGTGTCTGCCGTAGACCAGCTGTTGACATTGGCTCCAAAGACGCACAAGTCAGAAAGCTGCGCCAGCAAAACATCCTGCCCCCCCTCCCCACGCGCTGAGTCCCCCGCCTCCTGTGGAAAGGGTGCCCTGGGGGTGGGAAGGGCAGGTGGCGACGACTGTTGCGTTCTAACGCCACGCGAAGAACAAGCCGTCGCAGCCGAAGAAGCAGACCCCGCTGCCGAAGATGGCGACGCCCTCTGAGCTGACCGTGTCCCCAACCCCGAGGAGCGGGCCAGTTGGGGAGACCCCGCATGAGCCTGCAATACCGATGACGCCGAAGGGCCGCTGCAAGCACTCGAACTCCCCGTGCATGCGGGCAGGGGGGTTCGACGAACGGGGGCTGAATCCCCTGCCCCCCTGCCCTTCGGGCCGTGGCCCCGTCGTGGCCGAGCCACGTGCAGCCCCAGCGCAGGCCAAGCCTGGAAGTCAAGATCATCCCCAGCGCCGGCTTGGGCCAAGCCCCCGCGGCGCCAGATCGGCTCAGCCAGAGCCCCCGAAAGGGCCTGCACAGGCCGCGGGAGCAACGACGGCACCGCGAAGCCGATCTCCTCCGACCAGTCGACGTCCACGACGTTGTGGTCCCAGAAGCGCTCGAGGTCGTCAAAGCCTCCGCGCTCGTTTGATCCCCAAGGCTGCAGCAGCCTGGGCGTACTTGCGCTTGGCGGCCTCCTGAGCTTCTCCTGGGGAAGCTTGCCTGAGCTCCTCAGCGGCCTTCCTGAGGTCTTCTGTTCGCGACTCGAGGTCGCCTTGGCCCAGCAACTCCATGTCGATGTCGTCTCCGTCTCCATCAGCTGCAGGGATGCCTTCACCTCCTCGCTCCCCTTCGGCACGACGAGCTCCAGGAGCTCCATCGTCGCCAGGAGGAGCGTTGCCGCCTGGACCGCCAGGATGCTGAGCAGGAGCACCTCGAGCGGCCACCGCTTCCTTCTGGCGCTTGTCCAGCACGGCCAGGGCTGCCCTGACCTCGGCGTCTTCGTGGAGCGACTCGTCCAAGGCGGCCTCGGTGATCTTGACCAAGTCCCCAAGGTCTGAGGCAGACACCTTAGCATAGACACCTTCAGCTTGTGACAGGTCGCGGCGAAGCGACTCCACAGAGGCCTTGATGGCTGCCTCTTCCTCATCGAGGGCAGCTCGACGCTCTTGAAGCTTGCGTAGCTGCTGCTCAAACTTCTCGTTCTTCTTCCGCAGGTTCTCGACCCGCCAGCGAGCCGTGACCACGGAAGGCGGGTGCTCGGCGACCTCACGCTGCTGCGCAGCCGTGACAGAGGCCACCAGCTCGCCCTGGATGCCCTTGGCCTGCAGGAAGTTGATGACCTCCTTGTAGGACGGGCCACCGTTGCCGCTGCCGCCGCCGCTGCCTGGAGGGGCAGACTGAACTTGCTGCTTGTTGTCCTTCTCCTTGTCCTTGAGCAGGGCGTCCAACTGCTTCTGCATGGCTTGGATGGTCTTGGCCTGGGCGTCGCCTGGACCACCTGGCGGGCCATTGGCCCACCGACCCTTCCCTCCATTGGCAGCAGCTGGGCTCCCCTTTCCGCCTCCCTTAGCGCGGTTGGCGGCAGCTTGGGCCGCCACGAGCACGCGTTGGGGGCAGGAATTTCCACATCCTCGACACTTGACCCTGCTTGCCCAGTTGTCAAATGCCCCGCACTTGCCACATCCCCAGAGGGGGAGATGCGGCCCTGGAAGCACATCGGGCCCCATCCACGACAGCGAAAGCAGTGGAAGGGGGAAAGCTTGGCTCGCGAACGCGGCGCCTCTCTGAAGTACGCGTCCGCAACTCTCAATGCTTGAGAGCAGAAAGGCTGGGAGAGGGGAGAGGAGGAGGGAGAGGAAGGGAGAGGAGGAGGGAGGAGGAGGAGGAGAGAGGAGGAGGGGAGAGGGGAGAGGAGGAGGGGGAGGAGGATGAGCCAGCGACCGCCGACGAAGGGAGAGCCAGGGGCAGGCCAGCTGAGCGGGCGGCCTGACGTGCGAGGAGGACCTCGTCTTCGCCGCCCTGCCGCCGCCAGGCAGGAAGCGGGCCCCGGTGGAAACGGGCCCCGGACCCCGTGGGGCCTTCCCCCCGGGAGCGAGTGCGGGACGCCACAGGGATCCGAGTCCCGGTCCGCGCGCTCGACGGGCCTGCGGACCAATGTTAGGGGGCCACATGCGAACCACCCCACCCCTACACCCCACGATTTCTGAGGGGGAGGGTGGGGTTCACTTCGCTCGAGAGCTCCCGAACGAAGTGAACCCCACCCTCCCCCTCAGAAATCGTGGGGCGTAGGGGTGGGGTTCGCATGTGGCCCCCTAAATGTGTGACAGCCGGTTGCGCCGCCCGGCTCCCTGCCTCCAGCTTCCCGCCCCGAGTCGCTCTCGCACGCTCCCGGCGCCGGGGAGGGCTCCCCAGGGAGCCCGAGAGCCGAAATCCAGCGCAAGAGACAGGCACTGTCGCACAAAAACCACGACCAGAGCTCTGGACCCCGACCTTTCCGCGGCAGGTCTCGGGCCAGGCCAGATAACCATTACCGACAATCTCCGGCAACGCTCTGGACGAACCGGCCGCGAGCGGAATCCGGCCTCCGGTCGCAAGCTCTGGCAACGAGCGGGCCGGTGATGTCTTCGTCGGCACCTCCTGTGGGACCCCCCGACGCGCCGTCGCTGCGCTAGCGAAAACTGACCCCCTTGGTCGCGACCGAAGGACGGCGCGACGGAGATCCGTGCCCGAACACGTCTGGTCTCGGACGCTGCGGGGCGAGGGCCCGGGCGCCCAAGAGAGGGCAGAAGAGGCCGCTGCTCAAACGCTGCGACGCGCCACGACCTCGTGGGCCCAGGGAAGGCCCTGGGAGCTGGAGGGCAGGGCAGATTTTTTCCTGAGGTCGGGCATGTCCTCCCACAGGCGGAGCTTGGAAGAAAAATATGAGAAAATATTCCAAACTGTTTTTCCCAACCATCCTGTGGTGTTGGGTCCTCGTTTTGAAGAGACGTCGCCCCGCGTTCCTTCCTCCTCCTCCTCCTTCCTCCTCCTCCCCTTCCTCCCCCCTCCTCCCCCTCCCACACCCATTCTGGCACACCCCTCACACGTTTCGTGGCCCCATAGGGAGCTCCACCGAAGGCCCCAGTGGCTGCGCCCGCATGCGGTTCCACCCCCCATTCTGGCACACCCCTCACACGTTTCGTGGCCCCATAGGGAGCTCCACCGAAGGCCCCAGTGGCTGCGCCCGCATGCGGTTCCACCCCCCATTCTGGCACACCCCTCACACGTTTCGTGGCCCCATAGGGAGCTCCACCGAAGCTCCAGTGGCTGCGCCGCATGCGGTTCCACCCCCCATTTCGGCACACCCCTCACACGCTTCGTGGGTGGCTCCATGGGGAGCTCCACCGAACGCCCCAGTGGCTGCGCTCGCATGTGGTTCCCCCCCCATTTCGGCACACCCCTCACACGGTTCGTGGCCCCATAGAGAGCTCCACCGAAGGCCCCAGTGGCTGCGCTCGCATGCGGTTCCACCCCCTTTTTCGGCACGCCCTTCACACGTCTCGTGGCCCCATAGGGAGCTCCACCGAACGCCGCAGTGGCTGCGCTCGCATGCGGTTCCACCCCCCATTTCGGCACACCCCTCACACGTTTCGTGGCTCCATAGGGAGCTCCACCGAAGGCCCCAGTGGCTGCGCTGGCATGCGGTTCCACACCCCATTCTGGCACACCCCTCGCACGTTTCGTGGCCCCATAAGGGGGCTCCACCAAAGGTCCCAGTGGCACTGCCCGCTTGCGTCCGCCACCACCCAGCACAGCCCTTGTTCCCTGCGCTTCCACCCACCCAGAACAGCGCTTCGTAGCCCTATAGGGAGCTCCACCAAAGGTCCCAGCGGCACCGCCCGCATGCGTCCGCCACCACCCTGCGCAGCCCTTGCTCCCTGCCTGCGCTTCACCCACCCAGTACAGCGTTTCGTGGCCCCATAGGGAGCTCCACCGAAGGTCCCAGTGGCACCGCTCGCAAGCGTCCGCCACCACGCAGCACAGCCCTTGCTGACCGCGTCTCACCCACCCAGTACAGCGTTTCGTGGCCCCATGGGGGCTCCACCGAAGGTCCCAGTGGCACCGCCCGCATGCGTCCGCCACCACCCAGCACAATTGCGGCATTCACAACTGCATATGGTTGGGTCCTTCGCCAGGCTAATTCATTGAAACACCAGACTATTTCTTGACTACTTTTGAAAGTATTCCTCCTGTAGAGGGACACGCCCGACTTAAAAACTTCCCTCAGGGCCCGCTTCCTCCATGGGCCGCCTCGGCGCCGCCGCGGGCCCCGCAGGAGCGGCACAGGGAGGCCGCCCGCTCCAGCCGCGGCTCCGCCGGGCCCAGCGCGACCTCCCCGCACAGGTGGCAGCGGCGCCTGTGTCGGGCGTGAACGCCGTCGGCATCACAACCACCATCACCAATATCACCGCCACCATCATCACCATCACCATCAGCCATCAGCATCATAATCACCATCACTATCAGTATCAGAATCAGCATCAGCATCAATTTCAGCATCACCATCATCACCATCATGACCACCATCACCACCGTCAGCATCATACCACTATCACCATTATCGTCGATGCCACCATCGCAGTGATCAGCAGCAGCATCATCATCATCATCATCATCATCATCATCATCATCATCGCTATCAACACCAGCGTCAACATCACCATCATGATCAGAATCGTGATCACAGTGCTCATAGGTAATCATCATCAGCATCGGCGCCCGGGCCACAACACATCGCGCGTCGGGCCCCGCTATCTGCGACAAACGGTTGCATTCGCACCTTCGCGCAGGCACCTCGGAGAAGGGCATCTCTCCGTCCCTGGCCGCGTTTGGCGAAGCGACGTCACCGTCACCGTCTCCATCACCGTCACCGTCACAGTCACCGCTTTTTCCTTCTCCTCCTCCTCCTCCTCCTCCTCCTCCCCAGCATCATCATCATCATCGTCATCATCATCATCATCATCATCATCATCAGCATCATCATCATCATCATCATAATCATCATCATCATCGACAGCATCATCATCATAATCATCATCATCATCATCGGCATCATCATCATCATCACCACCACCATCCTCCTGCTCCTCCTCTTGATCGTCGTCATCATCATAACCACCACCACCACGCCACCACGGCTACGACCACCACAACCACCACTACCATCATCAGCATCATCATCACCATCGTCGCCGTCGTCATTGACCTCCGCCTCCTCATGACCATCACCACTATCATCAGCATCACTACCACCATCATCATAATGGTCACGATCATGATACTTATCATGATCATCGTCAGCATCACCACCATCATCAGCATTGTCTTCATCATCATCACCATCACCATCATCTTCATTATCACCATCACCATGATCATGATCATCCTCATCATCATCATCGACATCATCATCATCATCATCATCACCATCACCATCACCATCACCATCACCATCACCATCATCATCATCATCATCATCATCATCATCCGCATTATCGCCAACATCGTCAACACCGTCAACATCGTCACCATAGTCACCATCGTCACCATCGTCGCCATCGTCACCATGGTCACCATCGCCGCCATCGACATCGTCATCGTCACCGTCGTCACCGTCGTCACCGTCACCATCACCATCGGCATCAGCGCCACCACCGTCACCATCAGGCGGCGGTGGCGCCTGCGCAAGGCGTCCTCGCCCAGTTCGCACCGCTCGCACGCGCAGTCGAAGCCCCGGCGCTCCCGGATGAGCTCCCGGCGCATGCACCTCGGCGAGAGTAGACGGGGGGGGGTGTGCGAGGAGGATAAGCAGGACGATCATGAGGAGGAGAACGAGGAAGAGGAGGAGGAAGAGGAGGAGGAGGAGGAGGAGGAAGAGGAGGAGGAGGAGAAGGAGAAGGAGGAGGAGGAGGAGAAGGGAGGAGGCGGAGGAGGAAATGGTGGAGGAAGAGGATGATGATGAGGAAGGGGAGGAGGCGGAAGAGGGAGAGGCGCGGAGGAGCATGAAGAGGTGGGGGAGGAGGAGGCGGAACAGGAGGAGCAGGACTCGAGGATGCCAAGTCTTGCCCTCGACCTGCGCGGATCGAGCATGTGTTCTGCGACGTTCTTGGCCCTGGTCGGGCTTCGGGAGGCTCCCACGGAGGCCTTCGTGGGGGTTTCCCTCCGGAGTTCAGGATCTGGGGCTGGAGGCAAAACTTACCGAGCAGCAGGAGGAATAGGAGGAGGATGAGAGGAGGGGGAGAAGGAGGAGGAGGAGGCGGAGGACGGAATCAACACTTAACAAGGAGGATGAGGAGGAGGAGGAGGAGGAATTCTCCAACTCCTGGGTCTTCCTGTTTCTTGCGCTTCCTTCCTCCTGCTCCTCCTGCTCCGCCTGCTTCCTCCTCTCGGTCCTCCTGAGCTTCTATGAGGTTCCATGAGGAGGGGGAGGAGGAGGAAGAAGAGGAGGAGGAGGAGGAGGAGCGAACGTACCCTGAAGGAAGAGGAGGGGAAGGAATCTGGAATATGGAATCTACCTCCGGGGCCTGCCATCCTCCATCTCCGTCCTGAAAAAGTTCGCCATCCCCCTCCAGGGCCCTGGGCAAAGTCTTGAAGCTCCCAACTTACTGTCGCTGCGGCGTGCTCGGGGCACGACCACTCACTGAGCAAATCTGCCCCTACGAACGGGGCGTGCCTCTTCCTGGGCCCCCCTCATTACTCCTACGCGGTGGCACATGAAGGGGAGGGCGCATACGAGCCAACAACTTTGCCGCTCTGACGCCCCCGGAACTCGCAATGGCCTGGACACCTGCATACAACTTTTCATCTACTACTGGCTGTGGGGGAGGAGGGGGAATAGTGGAAGCTGCTTCACTCCTCCCACTCCTACCTCGAACTCTGCTCTCGCTCACTCCTACCCGATGTGCGACTGGACCGCCCTCGCGATGTCCCCGCACGGCGCGGGTCCCACCTGTAACTCGGCACCCTGCTTGCGCAGCACTGCAATCAGCGCTGCTCGCACCTCGATCGACGACCAGAAGCAGCTCCCGTCGGTCTTGGGCACCAGCGCGAACGGCTTCAGCGCGGCCTTGGCCTCTGCCGCCCTCTTCCCCGCGGCCGTGACCTTCGCCTTGCACGTGCCCAAGATCTCGCTCGTGTGCGAGTTGTCCCTTCATGCACTTGGAGCAGCAGGCCTGTAGAATCAGTCTGTCTGTCGCCTCTGATCCCTCGACCCTCCCGCTGCCTCGAGCATCGCCAGCGCTATGTGTGGAAACGGGGGCCCCAAACCATGGCCCGTCTTCTGCCTCGAGACCTCCGCGTTGTAGCTCTGACCCGGCTCCACCATCGCGCTCGGGATCGACTGGTTCTTGCCGATGAGACACGTGTCGTAGAGCACCCCGCCGATTTCTCTTACTTGGTCGTCCAGGGACATCGTGAGTCGTTGCGCTGCTCGTAGTTCTTCTCTTACGATGCCTGGCTCTCCACTGCCGCTCGACCCAGCTCCAAGCCTCGCCCTCTGCGGTCTCGGTTCGCTTGCTATCGCCAGGTGGAGGGAGGCGCATCATGGCTCGATCGGGCCTCCTGCCGCAACGGCCGCGGGAAGTCCGGGAGCGGCCCGAAGTCGATGTGCAAGGGGTCGGGCAAGCGCGCGGCGACGTGCTCGTGTAAAAACTGCCGGCGCCGAGCCACAGCGTCACAGGACGGGCGCTGCAGTGCATCTGGGGCGGGCTCGACGACTGGGTGGTTCCACCCCGCTCGGTCAACCTTGCGCTCGCGGGTGCCCTCGATCGCCTGCCACGCGTGCCACCTAGCCATCGCGCGTGTCTTGAACGAACTGCGGCACCGCGGGCGCTCATTCGCGATGGCGGCGAGCGAGACGGACGAGCGAAGCTGGTGTGCATTCATAACGTGCGATACGAGCGCAACATGCGTAGGACTGGCATACGCGCATGGCCCTGTAGGCGCATGCAACGCGCATCGCCAAGGCTTGTCCTTCAACGCATCTAAGTCCGCTAGGGGGTCGAGCGGGTCGATGTCGGCCATCAGGCCGCCAAGTCCAGGGGGGGCGGCGTTCGTGCGCCATGTCCTGCACCCCGACGAACGTCGACATCAAATTGCGCGAATTCTACCGCCGAAGGGGCCTCTCAAGACGTCGAGGATCGACCCCGGCCGCCCCCGCAAATACTCCGCCTCCTCGGTGGCCCCGAACGCCTCCAAGTCCTTCTGAATACCTAGCCCACGGGGTTGACGAGGCCCCCACCCACCCGCCCTCCAGACGATCAATGCCCAGGGGGGGGTCCAGGGAGCTGTTACCGAACGCCGCCGCAAGGAACTGGGCCCCGTTGACTGGAGATTTTGCCAATGACTGGTACCAGACGTCGGACTCTAGGCTCTTGAGAACAGGGGGGGGGGGGTCTGCAATCTCGAGGGGACCTCTAGAGTGCTCAGGGTCTGCTGGCGCTCGGGGCCCTCGTGCGCGACCCCCTCGCTCGTGCTTCTACGCAGCTTAGCCGGGGCACGGCCCAGGGCGTCGTAGCGCCTGGGTTCGAAGACCAAGGCCTCGAGGGCCGGCAGACAAGCATTCTGGGCACGAAAGAAACAAGCAGCGCTTCACACGATATTGGATCTTTTTGTGCAAAGCCTAGCCCGGTCTGTGCCATCCTGCATGCGCATCTCGCGCTCGGAGCTCCACTCTGGCACTGACCGAGCCGGCCGCGCTTAGGTCGGTGCCCAGCGCGCGCATCAGCTGGGTCGGACGGGCAAGTAAACTGCTCGAAGCCGACAGGGCCCGCTGCTGTGCCGCGGCCCCTTCGCCCCACAACTGCGCCAGGGTGCTCTCCTTCGCTGAATTCTGAGCGCGCCCGCTCTGTCGCGTGCGCCGCTCAGGCCGTTCGCCCCGCAGTGCCGCTCGAGCTTTCGCGCGGCGGGCCGACGGCTTCCATGGATGAGCGTGCGCTTTTGTAACGTCGCCCACGAATGTAGCCACTGAAATGTCCCGTGCTCTTCCAGTCACTGGGCGCACCGTCAAATGCCATCGTTCCTCTGGCGACTCGGCCCTGATCTGCGCGCCTGGGTTTTGGCGCGCAATGAAATCCCGCGGCCCGAGCGCGCGCCCCGCGCAGCTGCCTATCCGCGACCGGAAAGGAAGCCCCTCGCCCACGTCTGTGCGCAGCGTCGTCTCATCAATCATTCTTCTGCGCCACCGTCGGCCTGACTCAATATCGCGTCAGCAGCCTCGGGCGCGCAAGCGCGATCTCGTAGTGCACCCGCAAGCGTTCACCCCATCATAATTTGACGCAGCTGTCGACGTGCCACTCTCGTTCATCCGTCGCCGCAAGCATTCCATCGTCGCAATGGCTGCTTCTCGGCGTCGGTGTGGGGGCGCGCCTTGGGCCCGCTCAGGTATGTCACTCGACCTCTCCGTGCGTCTCTTCGTCGCACCTGCGCTTGCGCCCATCGATGTCGAATCAAATGCGCGTAATATCCTCTGCCCCGCGACCCCCTCCTCGCCGTCGGCCTTGTCCGCCGAGCGCGCGTCGGGCCGCGGGGGGGCGGGGGGGGGGGGCGCGCCTCTCAGCCTCATGACCTCGTGTGTATAAGAAAATCATGAAATGCCTGCTCGAACGCCTCGGGGATCTGCGGCTCGACGCCCGCCCCCATTCCACCCCCGGCAGGCTTGCCGCGTCGCGGCGGGTGGAAGCACATCGCTCGGCACTCCGCGGGAAGGCCCCGCGGGGGGAATGCTCTGCGCTTTGTTGCCTCCGACGCACATCTGCCCAGCTGCTCGCGGTCGCGAGTAGCGCGCTTGCGAGCCTCCTCGCACGGTGCCGCTCGCTCCGAGTTGATCTCTCGTCGTCGCTCGCGTACGTGCTCGGGCCAACTGTGCTTCTGCTCGCATCTCAATCCTCCTTCCGTCGGGGGCCGCTGCAATCTCGTTCTCCAGTCGCCCCCGTGCACGGTGGCCCGCGCGCTGAAATAGTTGCGATTATTGGGCCCGTCGCCGTTCCCCGACGGGGGCGCTCTCAGTCCATGTGCTTCAGCGAGGTCTCGTTGTTGCCATGCTTCGCATGGTGCCTCGCTGACTTCTCTCTCTCTCTCTCTCGCGCTGCATCCTGCGTCTTTCGCAGCTTCTTCATCTGGGTACTAATCAGTGCGAGCCGATCCTTGATAACGCCCAGCCTTTTGCAAGTTTCTTCTGGGTCCAGCTCGCGTTTCAATGCGGGGCGCTCTTTCAGTAACTTCATCCGTTGGTCCCGTAGCTGAAGGTAGTAGTGATCGCGTCCATCTTCGCGCGCGCTCAGCATGGCCTTCTGGAAACACTCTCTCTCGCTCCCCGTCGACGACCTCCCGAGCATACCTCCCATTCAGCTCCTTCATCATTCCAGTTCTGGTACTCTCCTCTTTCTCCAAGAACTCCTTTCGCATCTCACCTCGTTTCCAACATCTCAGGGCTCGTCTCGGCCCATTTGCTTGCAGGGAGGGGGGTGCGGATCAGTTAGGGCTCGATCTTGATACCATATACTTATTGGCATGTGGTCCAACAGGTGTTCACTCTCACGAACTTGCACTTCACGTGCGAGACGACAGTCGAACAACACATATGTGTGCGATAGACGTTGCCCCCGCCGGGAGAATCCAGTGATGTATCTTGCTCTGGCCGTAGAACCCTACGTAGGTGTTCTCTAGGGGGTAGAGCGACTTGCCGACCGACAAGTGCTGTCTCTCGCAGAACACCCGAACCTTTTGCGCCGCGTCGTGCTCGATGCCTGGAAAAACCGCTCCCACTTCTTCTGTCTCTTGTATCAGCTGGCCTCCAGCAGGCATCCCGAACTGGTCGGTGATATCCCAGAAACGAACGGCGTGGTACGAGCTCCCGGACGCCTCATAACACCTTCTAAAAACTTCATGATCCACTCTACCGTGTTGTTACGTTGTGTCAGGGTGCCCCAGGACCTTGGGGGAAAGTAGGTGCCCACGAACAAGTAGTCCTTCCCCCCCATTCGTACTCTAAGTGTCCCCACTCGTCCGTATACTTGGCTGCTGGGTGGGGTTCGCAAATATTTGTTAAGTGTCGTGCTCCTAATCGTCGTCCCAGTAGAAAAGATGTTTCACAACTCCTGTTCGGGTGTGCCCCCTTCTCACCCATCCAAACCTGACTTCGGTGTGGCCCGGATGTCGGAAATAAGTCGGTCCCTGGTCCACTCGATGGCATTGGGTCCCCACCAGCACCGCCACGTCGTAACATCGAAACGCTCTCGAAAACATGGACGCACGGTCGTCTCGCAAACTTTGAACATTGAAACCCATTGCTTTCAGTAATCGAGAGGCCATCGCGCTCGCGCGGGCCCCTGCCGCAGCTATGGGAGAGAAGTGAGTTCGGGCTGCTCTGGACGGGCGCGTAAACGTCAGCGCTGTAGCCGGCCTGGGCCGACGCTGAAGGAGGAAGAGGAGGAGGAGGAGGAGGAGGAGGAGGAGGAGGAGGAGGAGGAGGGGAGGAGGATTCAGCATGAAGGATGCAGGCCCTCGAGGTCCGCCACCCTTTTCGGGACCCCTGCGGCCCTCCAAGGGCCAGGAGGCCGTCAAACAACGACTCGGGATGAAAAGCTGGTCCTGAGTAGGAGGAAAAAGAGGAGGAAAAGGAAGAAATGGAAGGAGGAAGTGGAAGGAGCAGGAGGGGTATGAGGATCGAGAGGACAAAGGAAGGGAGGAGCAGGAGGACGGGGAGGAGGAGGAGGAAGCAAAAGGAGCAGGATGGGGACGAGGACCGAGAGGACCGATGGGGGCAGGAGGAGGAGGAACAGAAAGGGATGCACGTCGGCATCATCAGCTCCGTCCAGTCCAGGCAATACGAGAAAGTCACGACGGACCCCGCGGGGATGTCGGCGAGGGCGGTGTAGAACAGGCGACCGGACACGTTCCTTTCATGCCCCAGGTCATCCCCTGCTTCCAAATCCCAATAGTCTTCCTCATTCCTCTAATTTTCCGCATCCTCCTGCTACCCTTCATCCTACTACTCATTTTCCTCCCCGTCCTCATCCTTGTCTTTCCCATTGTCCGTCTCCATTCTTATTTCCTTATGAGCAACTCCTCCCTGTCGCACCCCGAGGCCCTCTAGAAGGATGAGCAGGGCGTTTCGCTTCAGACTTCCCTACCGCTTTCGACACTGAAACTTCAAAATGGCAACAGCTTCGCAGATGGAGGGCGGGTCGCTTCCAACATGTGGCTCTCGCCGTAGCACCGGGCACACTCGGCACAAACATTTCAAATCATTTCACATATTGAATGCGGGTCGTTTTCAACATGTGGCTCTCGCATCAGGACCATGCAGATTGATGTGACGAACTTTGCAGGAACTTCACGGATGGAGGGCGGCACGATTTCAAGATGTGGCTCTCGCCTTAGCGCCTCGCGCAGTCGTCTTAAACATTGCAAAATTTTCACGGATTTGGGCGGCTCTTTTTCAAAATGTCGCTCTCCCCACAGCGCAGCGCACACTCGTCTTAAAAACTAACAACAGTTTCACGAATGGACGACACGTCCTTTTTCAAAATGTGGTTCTCGCCATAGCGGCGCGCGCAGTCACGGATTCTCAATGTTAACGTACCAGACGCGGTGTTTTGGAATGTTGTAGGATTGTCACGGTGCAACAGTTACGTGGACTCGCGGTGGTGAAGTCCAGTTAATGGTCTTCTGGCACGATTCACTATCGTCCAGACGCAACAATAAGGTTGGTTCGTGGCGTTAAAGTCCCGGGTATGGTGCTCTGGCGCAGTTCAGGATGTTCAAACAATTGTCTCCCAACGGGGCGCCTCTCACAGTGGAAACGAACCTTCTAGGGGCCTGTGAAGAAGGAGCTTGGAGGGGAGGTTGAATGGAACAACTTTAATGCATCTTTGGTTTACCGTGGTCCTCCTCCTCCTCCTCGAACTTTTCGTCCTTATTGTAGTTCCCCTCCTCTTCCTTAGTCTCCCGCTCCGTCCTCTCCTCCACAATCTCTTCCCCTCAAAGACAAACCGCCCCTGCCGCGCCGCCAGACGCGTCGGCGGGGCAGACTGGGCGTTTCGCTTGCAACTTCCTCGCCGTTCTTGAGCCTGTAGCTGGACGCGCATAGCAATGTCAAACACTTGGTAGCGGCACATGTTTGCAAAGCTGGTCTATCGGCCTAGCGCTGCGCGCGCTCGTCTTTGGAAGCACGCTTGCAACGCCTAGAAATCTGAAGGGCGATGCGTTTTCGAACGCGGGCTCTGGCTCTGGAGCCGCGCGCGCTCGTCTTGAAACTTGCAAGAACTACTGGGCTTGCGAGCGTATCGCTTACACAATGAAGCTTTCGCGTTCGACTTACTGACGTGCGCTGGCCACTAAACTGAACTTATGCAACAACAATGTATACGGGTTGAGGGCGGCACGTTATCAACGTTGGGTTGTCGCTTCAGAACTGCCTCGCGAGACCGTGCCTGACTCGGTTCCCTCCTTCTTTTTGTCCTGAATCACTTATCAACTGTTCCGCCGTCTGCGTCTGCTTTCGCATCAGTATTTCTCGTTGTCGTTCTCTTCCGCCCTCCTTGAGATATCTCCTGCGCCATTCCCCCTCCGTTCCCACTCGCAGTTTGCCAAGTTATGCAATGCATGCTGCGGCATGCAACGACATGCAGCGCATGCAACATCACGCCAGATCATGCAGCGCATGCTTGGTTTGCAAAACCATGCCAACACATGCAACTACGCCACGCCATCCAGCATATCGCACGCACCGGTTACGCCAAAACAAATAACCCATGCAACGCGTCCAACAACATGCAAAGTTCACGCGCCGTGTAAAGTCAGGCAGAGCCCACGCCGCCGGGATTTGTCGCGATGTCAGCAACGCATGAGCGCTTCAACGTGTCGGGATGCATCGATTCGAACCGCTCAACCGCCGCGAACAGGTTCTGGTCTCACATGGGCGCGCAGGAAAACAATTCAAGTTCAACCTGAAGCCGTCGGCGACCGGCCCGCCGACCGCTGGAGATGACGCTCCGCGCGTCGAGAACGACGGCGCGCCGCAATGCGTCGGCTCGATCACCCCGCCCGGTGAGAACTGCAAGATGCACGGTGCCGGCAAGGATGCAACAACGATCGATCTTATGGTTGTTATCACTATAACCGATGCTATCGTCGAGATCATTGTGTTGATTGTTATCGTCGTTATCGTTGTGATCGTTGTCTTTGTCGTTGCCGTTGTTATTGTTATCAATGACCGCTGTCGGCGCCGACGTGGCTCGGAACGTGAAAGAGTGCCGTTTCCTTTGGTTGTGTTATCTCCGACGCGGTCGGCAGACTCCACGCAGCGCCCACGCGGGGCGCGGGCTGCTTTCAACAATTGCAGTGCGGGGGCGCAGCCAAGCACTGACGAAGCATGCTCGTATCAACAGGGCTACCGCGTGGACTGGCGCTGAGTGAAACATCATTTTCCATTGGCGCTGCGGTGCGACTCGCGCGGTTTTCGGCATAAGCTACAAGTATCGCTTTAGCATTGGTCCATGTAACCATAACTTTGTCCACATATTAAACGGCAGCCCCATCATTCCCGTGAACTAGGGGCTGCAGGTTCGGAGAAGTTCTTCCTAGCGCCGCCGCGCGCGCCCATGCCGATTCACGCAGCGTTGGAAATGTCCAGGCCCACGCCAACCGCATGTTTGTAATTCGCGCAATCGTGTTCCATGTGGGCCGCTAGGGGTACGCATGCCACAGTGCCCTTACTTCGGTTCGCACGCGCCCACCGCGACGTCTGTGAATCATCTATTTAGCGTCGAAGAAAGCGTGGCGCATCCCACTGTGTGTTGAGACCGCGTTGCGCTCGTGACGGACGTTGCTCAACTCTGCGTGCTTTTCAAAACCGCCTCGGCCAAATCTGGAAAATTGCGAAGCCGTCTTAAGCGAAATTGCACCCAAACCAAGCCAAACCAAGCAGATTTCGAAACCGCCCCAAGCGAAACTTGGCCCAAACCAAGGCCCACCATGGCCAAACCGGGCGGATGTTGAGGATGCCCCATGTGAAATCGGGCCCACACTAGGGCAAACCAAAGCCAAACCAGGTAAATGTTGAGGACGTCTCGTGCGAAAACGGGCCCAAACCAAGCCGAGCCAGGTGCCGAACCGGGCAAATTCTGAGGACGCCCCAAGCGAAACCGGGCCCACACCAGGGCAAACCAAGGCCAAACCAAGTAAATGTTGAGGACGCCACGTGCGAAAACGGGCCCAAACCATACCACCAGGTGCCGTGACAGGCTGGCTGGGCGCGCTGCCGAACCAGGCTAAATCAGGGGCCAAACCAGGGAACAAACTGAACAGGTTTTGCGGATGTCCCAAGCAGAGTCACCCACATCGGGCATCCGCTCTCCGCAATGAACTGAAAACATGCATCGGCCCGGGCGCCCGCCCCCCCGCGGGGGGAAACCCGTCTAACATTGTGCGAGGCGGGCGTTTGGACCGCGCGCCCGCTGACGCGCTGGGGCCGGGCGCGAAGATCTCCGTTTGTCATTCGGGCGCCGTGAAAATACATCCGAGCCCGATCGGTCTCGGAAGTGTTTGTGCCCGACGCCGCCGGCGGCGGGCTTCGCCGAGGCTGGGCTGAAGGAGCTCAGTGCCCCTTCCCATGCTGTGACCTCCACGGGGCTCGCGGCAAATGATATGCGTGCTGCGCCCGTCAATCCATCCCGTGTCTAGGGCGCGGTGGCAACCTTGCCTCTGATTCATTGCATCTGCGAGGGGGCGGGGAGTGCGCTGATTCTTGCGGCGAGGGGCGATGCGCCTCAAATGCGCGGCGCAACGATAGCCCTTGCCGGCCCAGGTGGGGGGCGCGAGAGGAAACGACGGGGCCGGGGGGGGGGGGGCGCGGGGGGCCTTGGACCAACGGCGCGCGGCAGATTGGCATCGTCATCAACCTGGCACGTCGCTGCCTCTCCTCGCGCCAGCCTCTTCGCTCGTGGGCTGCGGCATGAGCCATCGACAGAGGTGGGCGGGCTGGAATCGACCCGGGACTTATCGCGGGGCCCCCGCGCCACTTTGCACGCGAACTCCCAATCTACAACTGGGGGGCTGACGCCAGGGGCAGCGACCCGCCCGTGGGCGTAGAGTGGGCGCGCGGGGCCAGCCGCCGCCGATTGTTCGACCAATTTCACCAGCTCCTCGTCTCGGAGTGGCGCGCGGCGGCGGCGCTCCCGCGGACGGTGGAAGCGCGTCGGTTGTCTTTGCAGGGCGGGCCTCCTGGGGGGGGGATGCGATTGCCCCGCGCGGACAAAGGGGTGGGCGGCAGTAACTAAACAGTCCACTGAGAACCCGCGCGCGCGACGTCGCCCGAGCGCGCGGCCCCGCCCTGGCCCGCCCAATCGCTCGGCAGATCCAGGCCCGCCGCGTTCCTTGATCGGGCACCGCTGCCCGTGCGGGCTGGCATTTGCGCCGGGCGCGGGCGCCGCGTCGGCCTGCAGACTACGAGACTGACGGCTTTCATTATGGAGGGGAGTGAGCCAGTGCGGAGGGCGCTGTAGGATGGAACCAGCCTGCCCGCCCCTCATGGCCCGCGAGATTGGTAACAACCCGGAGCAATCATCCCGCTGGATCAGCCCACTGCAACATCTCGGTATTTTTTTCTCATTCTCTCTCATCTCTCTCTCTCTATCTCTCTCTCTCTGTCTCTTCTTGTTCCGAGATGCTGGGCGACGATTCCCGACGCGTTGTCCAGCTCCTCGGCAGACGTGATGTCATCGCGCCTATGCTGGAGTGGCGACGCGACCGACAACATCCAACAACCATAACAATGCCGCCCAAGGGAACTCGCGCGCAAGT